CATGTTCAGAGCCAGGTGGGATGAGTTTCCGAGCATCCATCAGTTCGGTGGATGCTACTGAGATCCATGGCTTCATTGTAGCCTTGTGGTTAACCTTACTAGCAGATATCACTGCTGGTTCCACAGCCTTTTTGATGTCATTCCAAGTTGCCTCCGGATCAAAATCGCCTAAATGGTCGCCTAACTGTTCTTCTAGTTGCTGCTGAAATATATTCTCAGCTTTATTATCATTAAGTAGAACCCTAACAGGTTTCCTCCCGGTGTCTTTCGTACGTCCAGTAAGCCTCAAAAAAATACGCGCTCGCACTAGAGCATGATCTGGATCCAGACATCTGCCCCAGAACGAGCGACAGTCCCCTATCTATCCCCTCCGTCGGTGGCTGATGGCAATGTGATCTAGTTGTGTCCATCGTTGGGTCGGCTTTGGGGATCAGCAGGTCAAGAGATGTTTTTCCTTATTTCTAAAGTTAGTGTTTGCTAGGAATAGGCGGTTGTCTGAGCATAGTTGCAACAGACGTTCGTCATTGTCTGTTCTCTGAGCCGCGGCATCCACCTAGGTGTCTGTCCTGCCCACCAAGTCCACCTACTTGAGCAATGAAGTCACCAGCCATTATTACTAGATCAGAGCGCCTAACTTTTTTCAGGTGGTACTAAAGCTTTCTGTAAGACTTATCTCTCACCTCGTCCTAGCTGCGGTCAGTGGGGGGCGTAGGCAGATACGAAGAAGAGGCAACGGCGAGTGTCCCTATCCTTTCGGGTCCCTACTCTCCCGTTCAGTCAGACATCGCACAAGCGACTATCTACTGGAATCCAGTCTAGAAGAGCTACTTCTGCCCTACGATTCAATGCTATAACTACATCAGCGAGACCTCGGGAAGCAGCAGTAGGACTTTCAGATATACGAAGGGTAAATCGAGTTGCTTCTTTATCTTGAAATGGTGAGGTCAAGTGAATGACGCTGCTCGGATCCTGTATGCGCGCTTCCGAGACGCAGTATACATCGATGCTGCGAGATTCTAATGTCCTAGCTAATGAGGCCTGTTGACCTATCTGACACAATGTCGTGATAAAAATATTTATTTTACAACTGGCAAAGTTCATAATCAATGTCTCTAATTGTATAGATAGCTGGTATAAAATAAAAACTCATCATTATCTCATTACCAGTTGAATTTTGAATAGGTCAGGACACTAGATGACTTGTGCTTTTCCAGTTAGTGCTGTCCACACGCGTGATATAACTTCCTTCCAAACGAACACTATACATAAGTTCAAAAGGCTAAGGTATCAACATCACTGAAGTCTCTATCTTCTAATCAGATGGTTTTGAAACTTTTAGCGTCTATCACACGGCAGTGTGCAGCTATGTCCAAGTCCTAGCTAATGATAACTTCTGGATTACTGTGCGTCTGTATAAAAGGCAGTTAAATGTTATTCACTATGGATATATCTGTAACTCGGTTAACAATATGCCTCATAATGCCCTTTCATATATTTATCGGCAACCACTATTTAGATGATTTCTGAAAGTCATTCTGCGACTCTAAAATATGGCCTTCATTATTTATCACTCTCTACACCTCGATATTGTCTACAAACAACAAAACTGATAATGATATGAAACACGTGAGTTTGGTATTAACGAGTAGCATTCCGTGATGAGGACGTTAGGAGAAGAATACATTGTCTGATTATGATTAAACTTAAAGATGCACTAGTACGCGTTGGATAAACAACCAGTACTCATCAATGAACATTCTAATGTCAATTAATATTTAGTTGTTTTGGTGCCTAGGCTAAACAAGCTAATTCAAAGTCCAACAATCCCCAGAGTTAGGTTCTATTAACAGTATCTTTCCATTGCTTTGATTTCCGGTTGACCTGAGAAATCCGATAAAAGTAGGTTTGAGGCATGCACTGTCAAAATTGAAACCCAATTTTGGCTAGAGGCATAACGTAGCAGAATGGACAGTAGACACATTCCAGACTCTTTGTTGACAGTCAATCTGCGGAGTTTGCTATGGGCTAAAATGATCCAGACGACTTCCCAGAAGACCTTCTGGAAGAAATTTGACACATTCTAAGCTACCGAGAACAGTATTTTATTGCAATTCAATAATATTCCTCTTTTTTCGTTAAATCTACCTAGGTGCTTATGTGGAGGCATCAGTGATCCGCAATGACGATGGCTATCACATTGCATATGTTACAGCAGCCTCGTCTGGCATACCTAGCAACTATCTAGTCTCCACGCCTGATGACCGTGAGTGTCGGGAAACTGAAACGAACTACTTAAGGTGCTTCGCGCCTGGTACTTACGAAGAGTGATCTCTCTAGTCCCATTCGATAATACAAGTACCGACCTAGGTCAGTGAGATAACAACATCGACACGAAATAAAGCACAGCGATGTTGGCTGTCATCGATTTACAACCTACAGAATGAAGTAAGAAGACTATGATCTTGCCTACTAATTACACCATACAAACAAAAATCCTGCATAGCCCAGCTTCCGCAGAACTTGCCAACCCGGTTTGACCAATTTGTTTATTAATCCGAAGCCTTCAGCTCATCGGTAAGTGACCTGTCCTGGCATTCACTGGAGTCGTGCCACCTTTAGGCTGAATAGAAGCAAACTACTCTCTGTCTCTACAATCTTTAGAGGATGAGCTAGGAAAGATCCAGCCTGCTAAAGACCATTCGCAATACTATCAATACTATCGACGATGAAGAAAATACTTATAAGTGAGCAAATGAGGAATTATGTGGATAAGAACAACATCCTTCTTTAAGCCTAGAATGAGTTTTATGAAAGCCAGGTTCAAAGCCGCGTCCAATCTTCTCATAGCCCGGGACACAAGAATAACCTTCTGGGTTCAAAATATAACCGTTCCTAAAGTATACCTTGAAATCCCAAATGCATCTGACACAATACCTTACGAACTTCTAATAGCGGAAGCTGCAAGAATGGGCTTTGTTGATCCACTCCTCTCTTGATCCAGAAACTACATGGGGAAAGGGCAGCTTCGTACCACAGTAGGTAGACATCATCAGAGCTCAACATCAAAATTTCACCGGGAATCATCTTAGGTCCACTCCTCTTCCTGAAAGTTGTTGATAAGGCGTCAGACAAAATTGGCTCAGAGGCACTAATACATACACAAAGGTCTAGAAGTCCATAAGAAGCGAAGCCGATTACTTTGAACTCCAATATGACCAAGCAACAACAAAGTAATTTCTAGTGGTCAATATGTTAAATATTGGCTAGTTGAAATATCACGTCATTAACATTTTGACCCACATGACACGAACACCTTATGTTCTCAATGGAAGTGCGATCCTAAATGTTTCCTTAAAGCGCAATCTCGGTCTAAGGATCACAGAGCCTTAAAACCACTTCAAACCACATAGAGGATGCACCTAAGCCTAACGTAACTGCCCACTTCATAAGAAGGCAACTTGATGTAATCGCAACTGTTCTTAACTCTCTTTGTGACACACGCACGGCGAAACCTTATGGTTCACAAATTTGACTTAACCCCTGCTCATAAAAGAGACATAATCTTCCTTGATTGAGTGCAAGACGAGCAACTGAGTGATACAGTTGAAGAATTAACCTTACGCCCCTTGCGGAAACATTCAGCAAATTGCATATGAAAAGCGATCACCAAGGTTTTTGCACCAATTTTATCATTAGAAATCGTTCAGGTTCGGAATGTTCCCCAAGCCAAAGTGATCACAAGCCCCCTCAGTGGATAGCTTAAAGAAGTGACTTAATAAACACCTACTCGCATCCGGATTATTATCTCCCTGTTGGACCAGTTGTGCTTGATGCATGTCTCGAAAATAGCTAGTTGTTAGTTTTTTCATTCCTTCACTAAGTCAGCCTTTCATTTATTGACTGTGTTTCCTCTTCTCTGCTTACACCTCTCTCCCCTCACACGATCTTTACTACAAAATCATGAACTTATTCGTTTATTTACGTAGTTCTGTAGTTTCCGCCTTTCAATAGCATTAGATTTTTTTCTTTATTATTCTTCATATTGCAACTAACTAGTTTCCAGCCTGGTAAATAGATAGCTGCTGGTAACCATAAACTCTTATGCTTTGAAACCGCACTCATTGAAAGCACGATAAATATCAACACACAAATAACTGCCGAATTACTAGAATTAGTACAGTCGATTGGCTAGACCACTATCCATTGAACACTACAAAATACCTTGAAGCCTATCAAAACTACAAAAGTTTGGTTAAAAGCAATCAATCGGTTCACGCTAGCTCATGAAAAAGATATTGGATATTGTATTCGAACCATTTGCAGCAATTGGATATATATACCAAGGTTATTTCAAGCGCAATTTACGATTACGGAGTTTATTTGAATATCTGTTAATGAGTCCGTTGGACGTCTTAGTAAGATAACATACAGTAGTATGATAGGCGATTCCTTTGTTTTTTAGTTACTCAGAAACCTAGGATTCAATCGTCTTTTTTAAATGTGTGAATTGCGTTTTGACGTTCATTTTGATATAGTTTTCCCCCAAGTAGTTAGATATAATGTTCTGAATGATATCTACTTCTTACAAAAAATTAAATGAACTGCCTTGTATTTGAAATTTTCTGCTCTGCAGCATTGTGTTGAGTAAGTAATTAGCAAGGTTACTAAGTTTTGTATACAAAGGTCGGTTTAGTAAGACGTATTATAATGCTTCCATATTTTCTATAATACCACAGTATTTTAATTGATGGGAAGGAGTCATTTCTTTCGCTCCATGATGGTTTGTATGCTGAGAAGCTAAAGGTTTCGCCAACTGGTGAAATGGAGAAATTTCATGGGCTTTAAAATACCCATTCACTATGTAGTTTAAGTAATTTAATCTAGCCCATTTTAATGTCTCTTGGTTTTAATAACAGTATGGATAAATTGTCTGTATGAAATTTTGCCTCCATCCTCATTTAAAGTGTTTTTGTGATTTTAGGGATACGTATCATCCTCTAATGCTACAGGAACCCATCCTTCATCTAAGTTCGGAAAAGGAAAATCTTAATTCTACTTTCCTCTCTACCATATCTCATTCCAGAAGAAAGGCTGATAAGTCTAGCACCGAAGATATCAAGGGATTTTGTAGAGTTACACAAGAAAAGAGAATGCCGGGTCTTTCCACTACTCCTCGCACTCAGGGTCATTGTAGGTCCGGATCAACTAATACTGATCCTATATTCGTTCGTCCGAATTCTCAAGTATCCTCCAAACTGCGAGTAGTCGGTGAACCTACATTGAAGAAGTCGTCTAGCTACCAAAATATAAAAACTGTCAATAGCGGGAAAGGGCAGACAACAATGCATTTATCTAATCTTCAGGTTACTCAACCGGGTAAAAAAAGAAACCTTAATTGTAAGCAAAAACACCACAACAGTGCTGCTAGCATCCCTACAGTTTGTTCTAAAACCTCTGAGCTGACTTCGTCGGAACCTCATTTTCAAACCCACCTTAACACCCAATCTAACGCTCACCGCATATCTGTGAACAGTGACCTACTTTCACGTGTAGAAAGGGAGAAGAAGCAATATGAAGCTCGGATATCCGAGTTAACACAAGTCACAGAAACACGCAAGATGGAAATAGAGAAGTTAACATTTGAAGTTCGCCGTGCTAAAGAAGAAGCATCTAAAGCTGTTTTGTTGACAGAGGAAACTAAACTTGAAAATATCCAGCTCCGAAATCAGTTGCTAGCCCTCGGAAGTCCATGTAAAAAAGATGGAGATCAAAGTTCTTGCGTAGAAACCCATCAGAACATAAAATCGAACACTACAGGTGCTAGTTCACGCAAGCTATTCGCCTGCACTTCCTCTCCTCCTGAATCACTTGGCACAACAACACGTCTTACCCCAGGTGGAGCTACCACTGCATTTACTGGAGGTGTTACAGCTAGTTCATTATCAAGTGACTGGAACGACGTGGCACCAGGGTTTGACTTATGCCCCACTGAAGAACCTACTGTATATGATACTAACTATGCAAGTGATTTGGAAAATATTAGAAGTAATAGAGACCAAAAAGAAAATCCAGTTGTTAGTATCGCCACTCTCCAAGGACGTTTATTGCAAATGGAAGAGGCCAACTATACCACCAACGAAGAACTCCAGGCCACATTACAAGAACTGTGGGATTTGCAACGCAGTGTTGATGAGGCTCATGAAGAGGCTCACAGTCTTGCCTTTGAGCGCGCAATTTTACTGGAAGCCCTTTCAACCCAAACTTCAAAACTAGAACACTGTCGATTTCAAATTGAACAGTTAAAACACTTGTTGCTCACAGATCGTAGCGCCCAAACTCCTGGTTCACGAGAGAATCACTTTTGCGAGTTATATGCTTCCATCGAGCAAGAAAAACAAGTACTGCTAGGTCAGAATAATGACTTGGCTCAAAGTTCCGAAAGTCTTGCTCGTGAATGTCGTATTTTGACAGAAAAGGCGTCAGCTTTACAAGACAGTTATGATGCTTTAGAAGCCCAACATTCTTCCTTAGAAAAAGTATACCAATCTGTTTCTTCAGAATTAACGTCCCTTAAAAATCAAATTTCTGTGGATTGCTGTCAGTGTTCACTGAATAAACAGAATGATAAATCAGATCATTTAAAAAGAGTTAACATTGCCGTTCAAACTAATTGTGTTTTGCTTATTGACTCACTTGAAAACCCTCTCTCTGTATCCGTTAATGAGGATAAAAAGAAACTGGGCGAAATCACTGTTGAATTGCATAAAATTAAAGAGAAGTATGAAATTCTACTTTGTGAACGTGACCGTGAGCAAACTGAATGGCGATTATATGAACGGGATTTGCTAAAAGCAGTTCAAGTTGCTGATGAAATTAAAACTGAGTCCGAACTAGAATCTCGTCGCCTAAACTCAGAGAACACATCTCTCAAAGAACAAGTAAGTTGTGCAAAAGAATAACGAAGGTAAAATTGTTTCGGTTAATCTTATTAATTATACCCATATTTGTATATTAAGCTTGTGGGCTTACAAAACACGTTCAACCGTTGAAACCATACTATATAACGAGTGATCGAAAACAACAGTTCTGAAAATGACGTATTGATCTTATTCCAGATAAGACTAGCAACTATTTAGTAAAAAGAGACAATGTGTTTTTTATTTTGATGTTTGGATAAAATAGACAAATGATCTGGGATATAGGTATTATTATTGCTGTCACGTGCATACACATACATTAACGAGGTACTTCTGAAGCCTCAAGGAAATACTCAGTTCTTAGTAAGAATTTGAGTAAATATACTCTGATAACTAACACTAAAGCTTCAAATTATTTGTTCTGTTACTATGAATTCTTTTACTACCTTTACTAGTTAGGAATTCGTCCTGACAGTTTCATCTTGCTGCTTTAATAGAGTAAGGGAATGTGAACCGACATGAATTTGTCCTAGACTCGGTTTTGTTTGACACTATGTAAAGTAAATAAAACTAGAAGAAAAAAATTCTCATCATATTCAAACATAGATTTACAAATGAAGGGTATTCTTTCCAATAAATTCCCTTTAGGTTTTTCCATTATCCATCCAAGTTACTAATCGATAAACCGACCAGGTCAAAGCAAAATACATCTCTTAAAATTTTAGGATATGAATTTAGGATTGTTTATAAAATGAAGCAAAGTTACTAATATTGGGATAACTGATTTACAGTGTTAACTTGCATAAGTCCATACTTTAAATGAAATTGGGAGATCAATAATCAGAATAAATATAGTTAACATAGAATAGTAGAAAAAAACCAATCAGACCAAATGTTTGGTGGGAAAACTAAATAGTTTTTTAAGTGATATAAATTCAGTAAAAACTAGTAACATCGGGTGAGTGCTTGTGTGTCTGGAAGATTAGTAATGTTGAAACAATGACAATAAACTTTTGCATAAGTTTGATTTCAAGTTATGAAAATACAAAAGCGGGAAAGTCTTATGCAATATCATTGATTTATTGACCCTAAAATTGACTAAGTTAAGACAATAAGTTGAACATATAGCTGTGGTTTTTTACCATCCGAGCAGCTATCACTTCGGTTGTTTGTGAGACTTTAAGTTTAATCAACTTTGGAGGACAATCACTAACCCGATAGATCATTGTAAATGATTGATTTGTGCTGTCTGTATGACCAACTTGCACTCAATGAGCTAGTATTGGACCTGAAGACAATTTGTTGAAAAGAATATTCTTCGTTTATATATTAGTGTTTATGAAATTGTTTACTCTGTAACTCAAATAATTCCAGTATTGAAGTATAGTCTACAGTGGGTGTCTTTTTTCTCGAAAGTTTCGTAGATTAATGATGTTCAAATTAAGTGAATATAAATAGTGATGATAATTTGTTATAGTCGATTTTAAAAAAAACCTATACTGTTAGTTGTTTATGAATCGATGTGTAACAACTACCTGTGAGAATGTTACATTTTTTCCTTCATTAGAAATATTCTTTATACTGTCATGTGAGTGTATGCGAGTCGTGGGCTTGTATTCATGACCCAAAATTAAGAAGTGTCAATTAATGACACCTAATAATACTCATGTTAACAAGTAAATAAATAAATTTAAAGATTTCACTTTTAAAATTTTCTTTTTCTCTTTTCTGTCTTAAATATAAAGTAAATCCTAGTTAAAGAATGTGATAGAAATAATCATAATTATATGTGAAAATATACATTATGTATTTAATAATTTCTTAATTTTTAGTTTTCACAACATTGTTTATTTTTCTCGTTAAGAATGAGAATAACTGTACTTTGTGTTGAAGTAATAAATAAAATTATGGTCCTGTATGTCTGAATAACAATAAAATAATAATAGATAGGAAAATCAACATTTATTATGTAAGTTCAGCACAATTCAACTTCAAACCAGATTATAAGTATGAAGTTAGTAGTACAAGTATAAAAATGTAAGTTTAGGTCACGATGACTCCAGTGGGCAAAAACGAATTTCCCCCAAAAATTTGGCATAGCTGAAGGTGGAGAATGGTCGCCCTTCCTCTCGAAATACACTCTTAAGACTAAGGAAAGTTATTCTTTCTTCCTTTACGCTGTTTCTCACAAAAGTCCATCGATTAAACTGGGTTGAAAATATGGAAGATCTATGTACAAGTTCTGAAAATCCTTGATTCTAAATCATTAGTGTACACGAGCTTCAAGGTTTTAAAGGAACGAATAACATGGGAGCATATTTTTGTCACTGGTTACTATAGGACGGTAGCTCCTGACGTTTTTCCGCTACCTTGAGAGTTAGACGCTTAGATGAATAATTTGCGTGGTGGTTCCCTATTAAACCACCTTCAGTTTGGAGACCTAGGTAGTGTACCAGTCCATACAAATTTTATTTTTGGTGCCCAGTGGTACCTGGTTTTGTGTTGATCGAATAAGCAGATAAAGCTACGGGGACATGTAACCTTTCGACCATTGGCCCAGCGTACCACTGACGTGCTGATTCAGTTACTAATTAGATTTGGTTTCAATCACAGTCAGCTGCAATGTAGAACTTCCTGCGTACCTACATCAGTCCTAGTTGCTATACCACGGTAGCGCAGAGATGCAATTGTAGATTCAAATCCCATAGTGGTAGAGGTAATACAAGTAAGAGCAGTGATCGGAAAGATCACGGTCCGAAGATATTAATCAAGAAGTATAATGCAGTGAAATAGATTTGAGAAAAGAAAGATGCACCTGCGTCATTGCAAACTATTTTGCATGTGTTTGATTGTTATATGATTAAAAGATATCTAAATAGGTTTCTTAACTCAATCAATACTGTATTAAGCTATAGAGGCGGACGTCAGACTTTATAGTCCCACTATGATCACTGTATTTCCTCATAATATCAATGTTTTACTCCTTTAAACATCATTTCGTTTTTCAACTAATTCTAATAAGTTTGATACTAAGTATGAAGACAATAAAGAGATCGTTCGGTGCATTTCTAATAATTGGGTTGAAATATTTACTTCATTATCAAGAATAAAACAAAATTGCGTATCTTTATTTAGTTGCATTTAAAAAAACAATATTTTCATAATATAATGAGTTGCTAGGAGAAAACCATTCAATTTCTTGGGAGTGCTAAATTCAAATACAATATAGTAGCGATAAATTAAGAGAAAAATTACGTTTGTTAATTCAGTATGATTTTCATTCAGTATAATTTGTATTAGTTCAGTGTAACTTACGTTCAAGGTGATCATTTCTGTAACTAATAATCACTGCGAGTAAATCTATATTGAGTGATTCTGAATAGTTGGTGAACTTTAATCCATATGGTTAAATCTTTCTTACAAGATTATCATTCTGAGTAATCGGGATTAGAAAGAAAAAAGATGGTATAGGATATCCTAGTATTGAAGTGTAATTAAAAGTTACTGCTGTGATAGCAAACTACTTTGCATTTAGAGATCTCTACATGTTTGTCGTATAAGCATAACTAATCGACCACTATCCTCATCTTGTAAAAAAAAATAGGAAGATGGAAATTAGTTGTCCTTGACCCTGTCGTTTTTTATATACCTCTTAGATGATTGATAATTCTCGAATAATTTCTTTCACAAAATGACTAGTTGGTGATTAGTTGCTGTCCTAACAACTAGAAATATACAGCATTATTGTACATTACCGGCTTTCAATAATTTTTCCTCTCTCTCTTTACCTTCTACTACATCTATTGTGTTTATTGATAGAAATTACGGAATTCGTTAACCTTTTTCACAACTATTGTATTGATTTTATGCTAATTTTTTTCAGACTAACCACATGGTGATTCACATATTCCAGTTTACATGAATTGTTTTAAGTTAGGATACATCGTTTGTATGTGTGCTTAATAGCAAATCCATTCGTACAAATAACTGTGCTGTATAATAGGTGTTATTAAGTAGAAAATGTGAATATTGTACAACATTTTCGTTAAAAGTTTTACGATAGTAATCAAAAGATATAAACATTGAGAAAATATATGGATTTTTATCAAGCTTCGTGCCTATCGAATGATGTATACTATGGATTCCTTTTCATTTAATATATATTGGGAAACAAGTGTAGTTCCATACAAAATGAAATCAATAAATTTCTTTTGATATTTAACTATTTTATAAGTACGTTTATGAACGAATAAAGGTTTAAGTTCTTGAATGAGCACAAATTTCCCTTACGGTAGATAATTCAGAATGTATTAACCACTAAACTGGGACAATAGTTTAATGATTTAAATAATTAACAACATCAGGGTTGTAGGTTTGAATCCTGGGTTAATCTACATTGATTCAATCAGCCATTTGATTATGTCCTAATTTCTCAGATAAAAGGTGTAGCTGAAAACACAATACCTTGATGTAAACTTTTTTACTCACTAAAGTGAACTAAACTAATCTATCAAACAACTGATTCTGATAAAAGCTTAGCTTAACTGAATACTTCCAAGTTATTTAAATATTTTTTTATCATAATTGTTAACACTTTATTATGTAATTCGATATGTTATCTTATTCTATAACTTCGTGGTTTTTTATGATCAGTAAACCAGTACATTTATTACTACAAAACTAATTAATTACTTCTTTATCTAAATATATAAATCTTGGTACAAATGAAAACCGATAGGACAAACAATCCATCCAAAAATGTATGAAAAGGTGAGATTTTCTTAGTTTCACACTAAAGTCGTCTAAAGTTTGTCTGAGCAAAGCTGAAACTGTTTGAAAATCTGAAATTCGGTTAAGTGAATTGAATGCATATGTAAAATGCCAGGATCTGTAAGGATGCATTCGTTATCAATAGTCTTACAAGATCGCACGAAAGCTAGTTAACATATTAATAGTTGTATAGTTCTATTCAACAAAATTTTAATATCATATCTTTTTGCAATTTATGTTTAGGTTGAAAAATTAACTAAAGATTCTACCCGTATGAATTCAGAAATTACAGTATTAAAAGATAAAATCAACTTATTATCATCTAGAAAAATTGGAAGTGAACATCAAAACTTAACTTCTGATTTTCATTTATCATCAGATAGAACGGATAAGTCAAATCGCGGTTCTACCTCAGTTTCATCTACATCTTCATCAAACAAGCAAATCTTATCAAATAATCAGAATATTTGCCCGAGTAGTTCCGCTTATCTTACAACAAATACAACAACTAATTCATGTCGTTTAACACCTGGCACACTGACAGATAATAGTTATGCTGGACGCAATAGTATAATGCATCCTTTTACTACACATCGTTCCACTGGATTTAATCACACAAGTCACTTACATTCTGCCTATCCAGGTTCACCTGGAGCACCAGGTCGACCTAGTGCTTTATCAACTGGGCCAACTGTACGCAGTTTAATTCAAAGTATTGAAAATCAGGTATTTCTTATGTATATTTACGCTTGTTTCTGTCTGTTTATTCACTTATGTGTATTTGTGCGACTATACACTTACTAATGGATTTCTTATTAATAAGTATGGGAAACGAACAGTTACTTTTTACCTGTTTAGGTTATCAGTTTGTTTATATAAAATACTAATGCGCTTAATACGCTTCGTGATTTTTATTTGATATGTAACAACTTATGGAATGCACTTTATTCTGTTGTGTGTACGTACTGAGTATTGATAATTCATGAATTTATCCTTCTTAATTTCATACTTGATAGCAGTGACGAGACTAAATTGATTGGATTAAGTACTGCCTTCTATTGATATTTCCACGTGTATGCTAGAGATTTATTTAACTTCTGCCAACTTACATCTCCAGTGCTCCAGAAGTAATATTTTATTTCCTTTAGAAACGCAAGTAAACCAATAATACTCCAGTCTGTTATTACTTTATTGATGTAAAACATGACCATTGAATATAAAAGGAATATGTCAATCGTCAGTACTAGTTTAAATGAATAATTACTTCTGTACAGTGGGACCATATAATAAATAGTAATCATGTCAAAAGTAGAGCATTAGATACATGGAATAAATTGTTTAATCCTTTGCTTATTATTTGACTGTGCTAGTTCCGATGTCCCGTATACATCACCAATTGCTGTCTATGTGCATGTGCCATACTAATTAACATAAGGTCGATCCGATTCTTAAAAGGTTAATATTAGCCAGACTAATAAAAGACATTAGTCCTTGTAGGTGACGGTTACGAAGATGCATGATTGCTGACTGATGTCTCTAAGTTAGTCACTATCATTTTATTCTTATAGATGATTCCGTCATACACTTGCAAGAATTTAACTGTATTAGACTAGATAAGCATAAAAGTTTCGGGAATATGTATTGGCGTTTTATTTCGTCGCTTAATATAAAACAGATACTTTTATTTCTCTTTTGATTTAGGTCAAAGCGGTTCAACATCAAAAACGCAGTACAACATCTGTATCAGTCAGCAGTTCACGTCCAGTCCGTTTATACACTAATACCAATAATGATTATAATAATGGGACAAATAATCGACAAAATATTTCATCATGTCTTAGTTTAATGTCACCAACTGGATATCCTGGAAAGTTGACTACATCTAGTAATAACAATAATATTAATAATGGGAGCACTAATAATGGAAACAATAGTACTGGTAATTCTACTTCAGCTCATCAACTGAAATCAAGGGCAACTATCACTAATCCTGTCAGTTCATCAGAAGTTAATTACAAACTGAAGAATCAAGAAAATACAGATATGAATAGTTTGATCCATACATCAGCACCTGGTGGACCAAGTTCCACTATATTAAATAATCAAAATACAGTAAAGAAGTTTCCATCAGATAACATTTCTACTACTAACAATAATAATAGCAACAATAATCAACGTAACATTAAAACACCACTTGGTACATCAAGTATCATGAATTCAACTGGAGCAACAGTGTTTGGTAATATGAATCAATTTACTAAAATAGATTCAAAAGATGTTTTACTGAGGTAAATGTCTACCGTATACTTACTTATCTATTCTCATGTTTCTCACATGTTGAAACTTTATGTTTCATTAGTAGTGTTTTCACCGAAGAGTTTTTTTTAGTAAATTTCATCTAATATTGAAATCTAATATTACTTTTAACTTTGTTACTGATTAGTTGTGCACAGTTAAGTGTTGTTCCATTTTTTTATTATCATTATTGCTTGGATTGATTTAACGGTAACATTTATAACTAAAAGATTTGATAGTGTAAATTCGTATCGCTGAAAAGTGTATCGTAGATTACGAATATTTTTTCTCATAATTGCTTTTTATCACAAGGTTGGTTCTAAGTGGATATCTTATTTGTTAACTGGGTTAATTAATAATCTATATGACTTCTATATACATCTTCTGAATTCCTCATCACCTCTATCTTTCTCTTTCCAAAACTATTTCACTGGATTATAATCCTTGAATAATTTCTTTGAACCCTAATCTTCTCCATTATCGCTAATTCTTCTACTGTATCTACCACTATGGGATTCGAACTAACAATTGCGTCTCTGCGCTAATGCGGTACGGCAACCTGAACAGATGTACTTACGTAAGAAGTTCTATGCTGTAACTGACTGACTGATATATACATAAATTTAGAAATTCAGTGTTATTTTCACATTTTTGTTACAGAAACCATACAATGATGTTCCAAAGATTAAATAAACTTATATTAGATATTTGAATGAGTTTTGTACACCAGTGAATTGTTTAACTTAAGTTTTGTAGGTTGGTGGTTTGGGGTAATGCTACAGCAAGGTTTACCTGTAATCGTGAGGGAACTGACTCTCACTGGTGAATTCGAATCCGTATTACCTAATTTCACGGTGAGAGACGTTACCACCTAGTTATTTTTTCCGTTTTCTGTCAACTACCTCTGACCACTACCTTACATCTCAACAAAGTTCATGCGACTTCAAGCTACCATATAAAATACCCATTATAATGAATGTATCAAAGGTATACTCAAAAAGTATAACATTGCATCTTTCTCGTTCAGTTGTGAAATTCAATCATACGTGTAGTTGAAAAAAAAACTACAATTTCTAGTTGGAGTTGTTTCGTTATTCATATTTTTGATGTGGAATTTTCAAAGAAGTATTGTGTTGTGTTAGAAATTACTTTAAATAGTTTTCATCTATCCCTGAAATCGTTTAATAACCTAAAGGTCTATCCTATAAAAGTACAATTATTGCCAATTTTCCATATATATATAAAATTTATTTATTTCAACATTTCATTGTTTTTATTTTTGTTTGTTTTTCCCAGACGTAATAATAGTGTTTGTGGATCAATTATAAACCCTGGGTTGAACACTAATAGTAATAGCAATAATAATAATAATAATATAATTGAGAATAGTAATTCATCGCCTAGTGTTGTACAAGTATTTACTGCAAATAAAATTACTACTGATCATCCTACTACTACTACTACTGCTAGTGGTGATGGATCATGCGACAATTCCAAGACTGATTTAATGATAAGACATAGAGAATCTCCATCAAGATCATTAGATTTAGTGAGTTTTCGACGTTTCACATCGACAACTATCCCAGACAGTAGTAGTAATAATAATAATAATAATAATGTGAAGTTACATACAGCCGCTGGTAAAAGTGCAACCAATATTAATCCAAATGAAAATAATCTTAATTCATTCATACATGAATCTGACATTACAACAACAACACCAACTGACACTCCTACAAATCCTAATATTCTTAATAAAAACTTACTGTCAACTAATACTACTACTTCTACCACACAAGATCATCATTCGAATACATCAACTAATTTTCACAGTACTAGTAGTATTCACCAAGTATGGCAAGATCCATTACAAGAATTAGCTAGGCTAACTGGAGCAGGTTCAAAACGTAATGCTTTACTACGTTGGTGTCAATCACGTGTATTAGGTTATCGTGGTGTAGAAGTGACCAATTTCTCTAGTTCATGGAATAATGGTTTAGCATTTTGTGCTCTATTGCATACATATGTTCCATCAAAAATTCCATGGAATGATTTAATCACATCAAATGGTTTACCTATTGATAAACGATATTGTTTTGAAGTAAGTTTTCTTTTTTTTGTATCATAGATATAATTCTTGTTTATTGTTAATAACTAACTAATCATGATCAAAATAAAACATGACATTAATTATGTAAAATGTGATTAGTGTTGAATAATGTAAGTTTTCTATTTAGATTCTTCTAAATAATAGTTATATAAATGTTAAACTATGTCAAATTATTTATTGATTAAAACACATGAGTTTCAACGTATCGGTCATAAGTGCTAACTCTGCTTCATTTATTTCAATTGAAACTATTCGACAGTATTATATCGATCTGCATACAAACAGTGTAACTCATAGTCAAGTTCATACGACCTTTTGTACACTTGATAAATAAATTACAAATACAACAATGTGTTCATTTTGTTCATTTCACCATGTTGTATTTATAAATTCTACTTTTGAAAGTGATTTTTTTCAAATTACTTACGAAGAATAGATCATATCGTCAATCGATAACTTTTAGTGAACTGCAAAAACTTTACTATTCTATACATTATTGATTAGGTGATATTCTACTAGTGTCTTGATTAACCGGGGAAACATTAATATTTCATACAACTCCGCCTGTAGACCCTACAGGGCCACTGCTGGTCCCAAGCCCGGATAAAGGAGGAGGATTGGCGACCTCATCCCGTAGAAAACTAATCCGCTGAAAAAACGCTAACACAAAAAAGTAATCCAAGCCATTTAAACTCTGTTCTTGGAGTTAGGTCTTCATTTAGAAGCGCTACGATGTTTCATGATGAAGGCCGAGTTCCTTCAGAAGTCACAAGGCCAATGCCCCTTCTGACAACCGGAGCCCCTCCACGGTGTGGGCAGCCGGGAAGTAACATCCATCCTCATAACCACAAAAACACACGAGGCCGAATTGATCAGAATCAAATCCTTTCTACACCTCCTAATAACTATCTTATCTCCACGACAAACCTTTCTTTCGATCGTTTCGACTCTGTTGATCATAAGGTTCTGTGGCAGTGTCTGTCATTGCAAGGTCTACCAGAGAAGTACATTAACCTTATAAAAGCTCTCTACTCGATCACAACTGGTCCAGTTAGAGCTTATGGCGAACTGTCATCGGAATTCTCTACTTCAAGTGGTATCCGTCAGAAATGTCCACTTTCTCCATTCTTGCTAAATTCTGTCATAGACATACTTCTAGATATAACATTATCTTCGTCTAAATTTTCGGGAGTGGAACTTCTTCCAGAAGATTCACTGGTTGATATGCCGATGACATAGTTCTATTTGGTGTAGACGCTGACAAAATGCAGAGTCTTCTGACTACCTCAAGCAACAATAAAAGCATGTTTGGGATGCGGTCCTCACCCTCGAAATGCAAAATGTTGCTTCAAGATTGGGTTGCATCGGCACCTGAACTAGTGATAGGGCGTGGAGCAGTTAAGCGTGTTAATCACTTCACTTATCTGGGGAGTCTCATCAGTGCTGATGTCCTGGTTTGTGACGAAATCTCGGCACGGAAACAGAAGCCTCGATTGGCTTTCGCCAAGTTGCGTCACATATGTCACAGGCGGGATATCCATTTGCTAAACAAAGGACGAGTGTACTGCGCACCAGTTCGCCCCGTCCTACTATATGACTGTGAAACATGGACAATAAGAGTAGAAGATATTCGTAGGTTACTAGTATTCGATCACAGATGTCTTAGAAGCATTGCTCGTGTATCGTGGGTCTCACGAGTAAGCAATGCTGCCATTAGGAAGCGAGTAGCAGGTAAGGATGACAGGTCAATAGATGAAATATTGAAACTTCATCGGTTGAGGTAGTTGGGACATGTGTAACGAATTCACAACTACCGACTTCCCCGTCGAGCTATGCTTTGCGGTGTAGGAGTATGTTTGCAGAAGAGTAAGGGCGGCCAGACCATAAAGTCTCCGACAAGTGGACTGAGTCATGTCGGTAGGTGTCGACTACCTGGTTGGGGTCCGCGAGATGATAATAATCGATGGTTATTGACCCTGAGTGACATGGCTCAAAATCGTTTGTAATGGTACAGGTGTATTCTATTCTTTGTATTCCCTCGAATTCTATTCTTCTGAATTCCTCATCACTTTTATCCTTTTCTTTTTAAGTTTATTTCACTATATTCTACGTCTTGAATAATACCTTCAAACCCTAATCTCTTCGTTAACTGATAATACCTTTACTACCTCTACTACTATGGGATTCAAATTGACAATTACATATCTGTGCTAATGTGGTATGGCAACATGAACTGATGTGCGTACGTACAAAGTAACTGACTGACGGACTATTTCATACAATTTTCAAAATTATATTTATAACCTCCTTTTTGCTAAAAACAAAACGTATCCTTTACATTTTTTTTGGAGAAAAACTCCAATAATCATTTGATCTTGGCTCCATATGCCTGTAGGATCATGAAAACTCTTAGTCGATGCGTCTCATATCTGACCATACAAGCACGTACATGTGACTAATTAGTAATTCAGTTTCTTATCTGTTAGCTTTGGTGATCTTATATTAGTGTTAACGGCTAAAAAATTAATTCATCGTTTGGTTTTTAATATCTGTCCATATTTTTTTCATTGAAACAACTTGGCTAACTAATCTAAACTCATTGTTTTGGAAATCTTCCTCCATAGGTTTAGGTTTAAACGGCATTTTGACAATAATTTAATGTTTTCTGTTTTATGAAACTAAATGTTTTTCTTGATATATGTTTACTTTTCAATTTCCAAATTTCTATTTGACACTCAATCAACCATACAGATTGCTTTTAAAGTTGCTGAAAGTGAAGGTATCCCAACTACACTTCAATTACAAGATATGCTGACAACTGAACGACCTGATTGGAATTCTGTCATGACTTACATCACTTCAATATATCGACATTATGAAGTAGAAGCGTTGAATTCATCTACTACTACAGGTAGTATGGATTGATGGTGACAATCATAGCAGCATCAATGCGCATTCTGGATTAGTGTCTAATACCGCTATCTAAATTTCTTGTTTTGTTTCTATTTCTCTTCTCTAATTGTTGTGAATATACAATCTGGTACATACCTACCTAAATACATATATCTAGTGTACTTTCAAATCGGCTAAACACAGGGATCTTTTTGTTATCTTCATTCTTTTTTTTTGAACAAATTACAAACAAACAAAACTACAAAAAAACAGTCTGCAATACGCTCAATTTATGTATATAACTACAAATGATCTTGTCTTCCTTTTATTTGTTTGTTTGCAATGGTTTTTCACTCAATCTAGGACTATATACACAATTATATTGCTCAACCTAATTTTTCCCCCATTGCATTCTATGCATACATGTGTAGATAAATATTTCAACAAAAAAAATAATAATTCATGTATACATAGTAAACTATCCCTTGGTTTTTGTGTTCTTTATCCACCTACATTTCTACCTAGTTTTAACAATATTTACATTTTCTTATTCTACAGAACACTTTTTTCTTCATAAACATGACATTTTCATTGTTTACCTGTTGAAATATAGCCTAAATGACTGAGATATAGTTATTTGTTGGCTACTAAATAGTTCTACTAATGAGTATGGTAATTGTGTGTCAATTCACATGTTTTCTAAAGCCATCACATACGCCGAGTGATTATTTTAACTGAGGTGAATGCTTGTAAACTGCAGAAATGAAAGCTCAATTGATAACATGAAACTTCAGTTTCATTAATGATTAGGATCATTTTGATTGTTATCAAGTCAACAATACCCACATTCATCTCTGCTATAGTGCCTAGTTTTCATTTTATTTGACATGTGCATACGCTTTTCGTTTAGTTTTATGCGTTCCCATACTTGTTGACCATTGATAAATCTCCTTTGCACCGACGTGGTTCATCCATCCACCGAATTCCGGTTATTTCATTCCATGTATGTCACCTATACAAACTGCGAACATTAACATTGTAAACAGTAGTACAGTGAACATGGATCCATTAAAGTAACCGCACACTATAGACTATATAGTAACATAAAAAGCACTTTATTATTCGTTTAGTGCATTAGGATGGCAACTCAATAGTTCGAGCATTCAAATTTTAACCATTACTTCGTTAACACGAATCCTACTTTATTTTAAGTAGTCTGCCAAAATCATTCACCTCAACATTAAAAGTTTGCGAATCACAGTGAAATGGCTCATTACTGTTGGTACTTACTTAAGCCTGTTACCCCCAATGGAGCATAGGCCGCTCACCAGTTTTCTCCAACCAACTCTGTCCTGGGCTTCCCTCTCCAATTCTGTCCAATGTTTGTTCATTCCTCTCATATCTTTCTCTATTTCTCGGCGTAGTGTGTTCCTTGGCCTTCCTCTATTCCTTTTGCCTTGAGGGTTCCATGTGAGGGCTTGTCTTGTGACGCAGTTAGGTGCTTTTCGTAGTGTGTGTCCTATCCACTTCCACCGCTTCTTCCTGATTTCCTCCTTCACTGGAATCTGACTTGTTCTCTCCCACAGTTCGTTGTTGCTGATGGTGTCTGGCCAACGAATACGAAGTATTTTGCGTAGACAGCTGTTAATAAACACTTGTATCTTCTGGATGATAGCTTTGGTAGTTCTCCATGTTTCGGCTCCATACAGTAGAACTGTCTTGACATTTGTATTGAAAATCCTTATTTTGGTTTTGGTTGAAAGTTGTTTGGAGTTCCAGATATTTTTCAACTGTAGAAATGCAGCCCTTGCTTTGCCAATCCGCGCCCTCACATCTGCATCGGATCCACCTTTCTCGTCGATGATGCTGCCCAGATATGTAAAGTTGTTAACGTCCTCCAAGGTATCTCCATCAAGTGTGATTCGGTTGGTGCATGTTGTGTTGCATCGGAGAATTTTGCTTTTTCCTTTATGTATGTTGAGACCTACTGCTGCAGAGGCTGCTGCTACACTGGTCGTCTTCTGTTGCATTTGTTGTTGCGTGTGCGATAGAAGAGCCAGGTCATCTGCGAAGTCCAGATCGTCCAGCTGCGTCCTAACTGTCCAGTTGATACCGTTCTTCCCTCCAGATGTTGACGTCTTCATAATCCAGTCGATCACCAGGAGAAAGAGAAAGGGTGAGAGTAAGCAACCTTGCCTGACACCGGTCTTCACCTCAAACGAGTTTGTCAGCTGACCTCCGTGCACGATTTTGCAGTTGAATCCATCATAAGAATTCCGTATGATGTTGACTATCTTCACAGGCACACCGTAGTGTCGAAGAAGCCTCCACAGTGTTTTCCTATCCACGCTATCGAATGCTTTCTCGTAGTCGATGAAGTTGATGTAGAGTGGTGAGTTCCATTCAATTGATTGTTCCACAATGATCCGTAATGTAGCAATTTGGTCAGTACATGATCGATCCTTACGAAATCCGGCCTGTTGATCTCGAAGTTGGGCGTCTACGAAGTCCTTCATTCTGTTTAACAATACCCTGTTGAAGAATTTGCCTGGTATTGAAAGAAGAGTGATGCCTCTGTAGTTCTCACACTTGCTGAGATCGCCTTTCTTTGGTATTTTGATGAGGTATCCTTCTTTCCAATCTGATGGTACTTGTTCCTCATCCCAAATCTTCTTGAAGAGGATGTGAAATATTTTTGCAGTTGCTTCTACATCTGCTTTCATTGCCTCTGCTGGAATGTTGTCTGGTCCTGCTGCTTTGCCACTCTTGATTTGTCTGATGGCTATATATTTTCCATGTCACTGCATATAATTATTTCACATAACCCTCATTGATCAATACCATACAGTAATATTATTCGACACTCGACTACAACACACATCCTTTTCTATGTTCCCTGTTTCCTTTTATGAAATAAAGAATGTGGTTATAAATATTTGTTATCAATAGCTTTCATGATCAATATTTTGAATTTTGAAATATACAAACACTATTATATTCAGTTTTTATGAGTCATATACTATTGATCAATATACGGTTGTAGGGAATCGTAAATTTCATTAGAATCATAGATCTGTAAACACCGGATTGGCGTTTCTTCTTAGTATGAAACTCCTTAGAAACGCACATGCATCACCTCACATTCAGGAATTGATCTAACCACCTTTGGAAGGCCTAAACACTAAACCAGTGAACAAAGTTCCGATGGATTGTGAGTATGAACTCAATCGAACTGTGGTATCGTTCAGACATTATCATTTGTTTTCATTTAACACCTTCCTAACTTTCGACGCGACTGATCTTTGATGGTCATGGTTTCTCAGTAGAATCAGGGGAATATCGTTTGGTAGAATTTCACTTGCGAGTAAATAATAATGGTCACTAATGGGTTGTGGATTCAAATGAATTTTGTTGTAATCACCAACTGATCTGAGTCATATTGGTTCGTGATCCAAATAGGTTTCACGTAATATTGTTCGTTAGTCACTATCACAATTACATCACCATGTAATACCACACGCATGGTGAGTAATATTCACTTGATTTGAATTAATTACTTTTAACTCAACACTTTTTGCACCTCTCTGTCATATGACCTTTCAACTTTATGCATAGAAAGTTTCTCAGTCAATGTGAAATATACGATTTTACACTATAGAAGTGGTGTGACGTGTAAGACATAAGCCTGACAGTCATGATTAGTTGTTTGGGTAACGAGTGAATGACCTAGAAAACTGATAGTCTTCGAATACATATATTATGTAATCATGTTATTTATCTTTTAGTAGTTAGTGTCATATCGCAAGCCTATGGTTTTGGCTAATGGTCTTATCACTGATATTACTCGATTCAGGCGGCTGTGGGGCGTGGAAGCTGGTTGGGTCAATAATCCGATTTCATAAATAGTTACCACTCTTTCATATTATAATTTTGTTTCAGTTTATTGATTAGCATTCTATTTTTTTAGTTTGACAATTCTAAATCTCACTCAACACTCTTCATTAATCCTCCTGCAATAACAACAAAAAAGTGGTACTAATGAAATTAAGAATTTAAATGTATGAGATGTACTAGTTATTGGACTAAAACAAATTTCATTGTGAAAAATGATAAGAACTAGGCACAAAATTCTCTTTTAGACATTTCAAAGAAAAAGCGAAAACAGTTCGGAAGAATATTTCTTTTTCAGTCACACTTTGATTGTGTCTTCACATGGAAGTAAAATGATACAATGTACATATCAACCAAGTGGTAGCGTGTTAGAAAATAATATCACATGTTCATGGTAAATTATCTGGAGTTCTCATGAGAAGCTGTGACCTGTGAAGATGGAATGCTTTCTGCGTGTTACCTATCACAGACAATGGAAGTTGGTCACACGATATCGTGGATTGATTGGAGTTAAACTTGTCCACCGACGTGTCATGGATCGGTGGTTTAGATTCGAAGGATTTGTAAGCTGAACCGATTGTCTTGAGTTTGACTAGTGGACGCGGGTTCGTAGAAGCGTGCTGTTGAGCAGTCATGTACTAGGACGAAATGAACGTTCAGTGCTTTCAAATTTTCAGTTGTGATTTGAGGAATAACGGTTCGTGATTTATTCACGAAAATTCTATCATCCCTACGAAACCACACACTGATAAAATCCGATAATTTTTGAGAATGACTAGCAATCGACGACAGTCATTGAGAAATGAGTGAAGTGGAACAAGTTACGCAATCGCTAAATTATTTAACACGATTGATTGTGTTACCATAATAAAAGTTCCGTAAGTACGGAAAGAATATCACAGTTATGCAGCAGCAAATGTTAGAAATTATGAGAAGAAAGAAAAAAGGGTAAAGCGAGATAGTATGATGAGTCATTTGTAACTCTAATGTTGGTTGTTTTGATGATCGAGATGATGAGAGTGGTTTAGCAATTGTTTTCAAACACAGATGCCTGGTTTATTAGGATGGATGTCGATTATTTCAGTTATGTGGAAGAAGATGTATATGTTGTAAACTATGCTACAAATTTAGAGGAACGTTGGTTGTGAGATTTGTGATTCTAAAGATCGTTTATGATCATCTGATGTCTCAAATCACTAAGGTAGACAGCTGGCTGTATCCATATATCCACGAAGATTGATCGAATTTCTGTCAATATATGAACCACAGGATAATCCAAATCAATTGCATGGTTTTTTTGAAATCAGTATTAAGATGGGTAATGCTATGGCATTCGCAGCAAGTGGTACTGGGTTCGAGTCTCGCAGTGAACAAGACGTTTATCTATATTACTAGCCAATGGCAATTGAGAAGGCCATCTGAAATGTCCGAAATGATTAATGCATATTATTGATCAATAAATAATTCTGCTCTATCAGGGAGGATAAATGTTTATTTATAAATGAGTATTTATGTATACGATTCGGCAGTCAAATAAACTCCTCTTCCACTTTTTATATCAGTTTTACGGTTAGTAAGTTCTACGCTCAGATCCCGGCCACTAACCATCATAACATATTTCATGAATTCGTAATTCTTGTGCCTCATATGGTGCAGTTAAGAATTTGGAAATGAGGTTTTATATCACTTGTATATTGACCGGATCTGAAAGTCTTAACCACTGAACACTGCAACTCAACAGTTTGAAGTTGTGCTCTCTGT